TTTTTTTCTTTTTGAAAAATATGGAGGGAATCTTTTTGATAAGCTTAGTTATGCATGTTAGATTTTAGTTTTGCAAGTGTGTTGTTTTCAGATGTAGAAAATGTAAGAAAAGGTGAAACAGTAAGAGGGAAAAGCATTTATATTTCTTCTATAATTTCAAACAAGCATTTGTGAGTGCCTACTGTGTGCAAGCACAGCAGGGAACCATAGATGTGAGGAATCTCTGTAATATTGATATGTTACTCACTGTCTGGATGAAAGATTTATCAAGCCATGGTAATATACAATTACCCTCACTTTGGTTCTCAGGATCTCAGTTTCTGGAAAAGACATAGACCACATGAAAAAACAAAGCTGTTGGAAACTATGTCTTGTCAACCTTTGTTATGTGCAGGCCTTCGCAAGTTTAGCTAAATTGGAATTTTATCATTCTATAGTTATCTTTATAAATCTTACTTTTCTGCATCTGGCTTCTGCATTGACAATTTGTGGGAACCAGCCCTACTGCCACTATTGTTCTAAAAACCAGAAATCTTTCCCCTTAAACTATGTTAAATTCAACACTGAGTATTTCTGTTTTATAAAGAATCAGATTTTCAAAATTATTTATTTTTTTGTTTGTTTCATGGTCCCAGAAAACACTAATAAAAACAGAGACCGGCCGATAACTGTGTGCTTTATTCATTAACAAGCCATCCAAACTGAAAATGTTTAGTGTATGGTACCAGAACAGACACAGCTTGAATATTTGGTTATCAGTGAGCATCTACATGTCATATACCGCCCCAGGCACTGAGTTATGGCAGAGAAAGAAAAGAGACAAAGATACTCATGCTCAGACAGTTTTTGCTCTTTCAGGTAGAAATGGATAAGGATAAAACTGCTAACAAACCAATCAAATTTAGCATATCAGATTGCAGTAAAGAAATGTGGAGTAGGAGTAAGGAATGAGGAGGGCTGGAGTTTGGGAGTGTGTATTGCAAAATTTTAGTAAAGCGTTGAAGGTTGTAAAGGAAGGAGTTGTACGGAAAACTGGAAAAGTGATCCAAACCAGACATGACTCAGGTATTGAAGAGGTGGCATTTCACCTTTGGGCCCAATCAGTATGCCCATAGTACTCCTGCATCTCAAACTTGGCCAACTTTGAATACAGTCCATTTTTATTTCCTTAAGAAGAGATTTCCTCACTAACTGTCATGGGCACTCTTTACTTGTGTGAATGCATTTTATTAATTTCTCATAAATCACAGAGAACTTGTAAAGGGACTGCTTAGAAGCAATGAACCCTCCTGAATTTTTACTCTGGAATTATCTATCTGAAACTACAGACCCTAGCCACTTGTGGCTAAGTGTAAATTAGTGACAACCACATACATTAAAAACACTTGGCTCCTTCATCACTCTTCAGGTGCTGAATGGCTGAGTATAGCTAGCTAGTGGTTTACTGCGTTGAGCATGTCTATCACTAAAGGAAGTCTATCGGGCCATACTGAACTAGGATCTGACCTGGATGGTGGGTTAAGGCAACAGGGTAGTGAGCAAAACTAACCAGCAGACAAACTATTCAGTGACCCTGAGAAAACGAACAGTGACCCTGAATTGTCGTGAACAATAACAACAAAATAAAGATCCGAAGCAAATTTCCTGTGTTTACTGAAAGGATGACAGTGTCTTTGAGTACAAACACAGCCTAAAGTTTCCAGGGAGGCTTGGAGTGGGAGGATTTCATTATTCTTGTCTCTAAACCCCGCACATACCGTCCAGTTATTAATATGGATATCCTACATCTGTGGCTTTCTGGTTGGGGATGTAGGCAGTGAGGGGAGATGGCTGACATGGGAGAGAAATGAAAGGTCCCCAAATGAGAATGGCTGCCATTTTCACTGTCTGCTACCAATGGTAGGGACCATTGTCTTCCTTCTTTCAAGAACCTTTTTGTACCCTTAGGCCCTCTCCTTCCTTATGACTCAGTTCTCTCCCATTGGTGACCACACTCTGGCCTCTGTTCCCATCAGGGCAGGGACCATACCTTATTGAAGGTCATGGTCAAGGGCTGGAGGCATGGCTCAAGTGGTAGAGCATCATGCCTAGAGAGCATGAAAGCCCTGAGTTCAAACCCAGTACTGCCGTAAGAAAGAAAGAAAGAAAGAGAGAGAAAGAAACACTGATTATCTAACCCCAGAAATGACGGTTCCCAATTGCTGTTGCCCACTACCTGATGGCTTATTTGTTGAGATCATTTTTTTGCCCAGGTGGACCTCAAAACACAATCCTCCTCATCTCTGCTTCCCCAGTAGCTAGGATTACAAGTGTGAGCCACTGTGTTCAACTTTCATTTTATAGATGAGGAAATGAAGGCTTAGAGAAGTAAAGAACTTGCCTGAACTGCCCTTGCTGTTGTGTGGCAGAGCTGAGATTTGAACCTCTGTCTAGCTGACTCCAGAGTTGAAGTCTTAGTCATGATGCTCTATTATGTTTGAAAGCATTGTGAAAATAATTACTCACTGAACAAAGTAAGGGACTTATTTCTGAATGTCTGGTGCCCCTGTAGAGAGGCATTTGAGCCTGAGAATACAATGATATCCAGACAACATGGTTTCTTTAAGTCACTCACCCGGTTAAGGTCTTACTTGACCGTTCCTTGACAGGGAGTAAGATTCATGGAAAATTTGGTGTCTGGTTTGCCTTGAAATCATGGTCCCGTGATGCTTAGAGTTGAACAACTATTTGGCACAAACTCCTATCATAAGAGTCAAACTTGAGTTTGCTCTGCTGTGAACTAGGAAAGGAAACCAGTTTTCTCATTCACAAAGCTTTCCAGTCAGATGAGCATCAACTTGTCCCTATTCCCTAGCCCACTACCATCACACAAGGGTGTTCCATCTCCAACATAAACACACTGTCAGGCAAGATCCCTTTCATGTTGATGGCATGAATCTTCCTATGAGTCTCCCCTCTGGGATGCAGTGAGTCAGGAACATTGCACGTCCTAGATGTCAGGGAAAGAACAGAGGGCAACCACAGGGACCAAGACAGGACAGGTCAGAGCCACTTAGAAATGATGAGTGCAGAGGTCCCAACACTTTTGAGGATGAAACATAAGAGAGTATGATGTCTGGTATAAGAGCCCAGTCATCATTAGCTCTTTGCCTTTTTCCCGGCTTTATTGGGTGTGTGTGCTCTGCCTTCTCTCTCGTTTTCTGTCTCTTTCCCACTTCCTGTTTCTTTCCCATCCCCTTCCATCTTCTTGCTCATGAATCCCTTTCAGACTCCTTCTCCCTCCAAACTCACCTTTCCAGGTTGCTGATAGAGCCACAGAGAGGACAGACCAGGATCAGGAATGGCGCCACCTCTCTGAAAGCCTTAGTGGTGACAATAACAAATGGTATTTACCCAAGAGTTATTAACACATCAACTGTTCTCTCCTTCACTGTTTAGTCATGTCATTCAGCTCTAATGGACTTTTCCAATGGCAAACAGAAGAGGAGAAGGAAAACAATCTGTATTCACCCTAGATAGAGTCGGTGACCCCTGCCAAAGCTTTAAAAACAGAAGCCATTGCTTAAGCTTGACCCAAGGACACGTCTCACCTGAATGGTGTTATGTAGGACTCTGAGCCCACGCTGGTCCCCACTAATGTTTCTTGTACAAAGAGGGCAAAAAATAAAGGACGTAGCTTCATGGAACAAAAAAAAAACACAAAAAGCTCTTCGCTTATTCAACAACTTTCAGTTAGGTATTGGTGACAACCAAGGTGTGCTCAGTGCACCAGATAGACTGAAGACAAAGTCAAGTGATTGGTTCAAGTTCACATGGTAAACCAGGCCAGTGTCAGAGCCTACTATTCTGCCTTGGTTGATAGCCATTCTTTCCTTAGGAAGGACATTGCTTCAATTTGCCAAGACAGGAAAACAGGCTAACTGAGTAAAACACACAGGCCTTTGAGTTGGAGCAATCTCAGGTCCAATTCTCATGACTTCACTTATAAGCTGGGTGACCCTGGATGAGTGATTCAACCTCTCTAAACCTCAGCTTCTTAACAAACAAGTGGGGACTTCTAAATTGGAGTGTAGACTTTGTAGGGAGATTGCCAAGATAAAGTGTGGTGAATAGCAGGTAACCACTGGTGTGTGTGTGTATGGGAGGCTGGTAATAGGACATTCGTCCTGAGTTGCAGTCATGGCTCCAGTTTAACTAGTCATTGGCCCTTTGCAAGTTTCTTAACCTCTCTTGCCTCATTTCTTCATCTGCAAATTGTCAGTTTGAGCTAAATCATCTCTGAGGTCTTCCTGAATAAAAAGTGCCAGGAGTTTATGAAGATAAGTTTGAATAAAGTTCGACATGCTTTAAATGTTTATGATTTGGCCAGACTATTGAACAACAACAACATAAGAGCTTCCTCCATCTCCCTGGAATGGATTGTGGTGCTAAAGTGAACACAGAGTTGTCTCCACTGGGATCATAGTGCTGTAGGGGTAGGAAGGGAGAGGATGCAAAATAGCAGAGTCTGGATCCCTGGACACACACAGCCAGTTCCAGGGATGCTGCTCCCAGGGACATGGCTCCCAGGTATAGTGACAGCTGACGTTTATTTAGAATTTACTCTGTCAGGCAGAGTACCATGCTTGACTTGTGTGATTTCACTTATGCCTGTGAGGTAGGCATTACCATTATGTCCACCTTTCTTTCGGGATGACGAGTCTGAAGTTCAAAATGATTACAGTCTTTCCAGGTGGCAGAATTAGGATTCAAACCTCAGTCCCAAGCATTGCCATTTCTTTCAGCTGAATTCCTGAGAGCTAAAGAAAGCACAACCTGTGGTTTGAAGAGCCATATGAAGTTCTTTCTTTCTTAGAAAAAAAGAAATAGAAATTTGCCAAAAATACAAAAATAAACAGGCCCTTGCGGCATCCAGCATAATTTGAAATTCAAAGCTAAGGTGGGATGTTGCCTGTTTTTTGGGTCTGATGGTTCCAGCAATGGTGATGCTGGTGATGGCGTGGCAGACGGAAGTCCCAGGGAGCACTAGCAGCAGTAATATAATCCCTGCCCCCCGAGCAGTGCTGGTCTCAGGTCGTGTATGGGACATGAGGGAGGCAGAGTAAGGGTTCAGGATGTCAAAGAAACGAAAGGTCATCTCTGGATGAAAAATCAGGAAAAGCTTCCTCAAAGTGGGGGATTTAGTAACCATTACATTGGGGGGAAGTAAGTCAAGTGTGGTAGGCTATGTCTTTAATCTCAGCTACTCAGGAGGCAGAGGCAGGAGGATCCTGAGTTGAAGCCAGCCTGGGAAAAGTTAACAAGACCCTATCTCAAGAATAAAGTATACAAACAAAAGGGCTGGGGTGGTGGAATGACTCAATGGATTCTATCCCAGTACCACACAAAAGAGAAGGAAGAATTTTCATTTTTAATATTATAACTTTAAAAAGTAATAGCATTAGGAAAAAATCAAGAAATATAGTAAAAATACAAAGAAAGTTAAAATATATCACTCAAAATAACCAGGATATACATTGGTGGAGACCTTTCTAGGTTTCTGGAATAATGAAAAGACAGATGTATTGAGGTCTGGGAACTGCAAAGGCAGAGGATGTAATAGAAGCAAGACTTCACAATAAAACTTTGTATCTGCTCATGTATGAAAACAGAAAAATGAGAACTGTTGACTAGTCCAGAATGGGGGAGGAGGGATAAAGGAGAATGATGGAGGCAGAATTCAATTACGATATATTGTAAGAACTTATGTAAATGTCACAATGCACCCCCAGTACAACAATAATGTGATAATAATAAAAAACCAACAAGCAAACAAAAAAACTCCTTTGTATCTGAACCATACTAAGGTATTAGTTAGTCAATAAAAAGTATAACATAGATGTGTAGAAGAAGCATCTTTATAAATATATGATCTTACATTATATTTAAAAACTAAAAACCATTCAATTTGACTTAAACTCATCTTGAAGAAAGAGAAATGAAAGAACTCATTGAATTAAAATAAATGCTTCTTTAACATAAGGAGTATTAGTTTTTTAAAGATACCTGTAAGGTCATAAAACAAATATTAGCACTGGAACAATTGTAGTTTTTAAGAATACACAACTACATTTTAAACAGGTTTGATTGACTCCTTCCGGTGAAAGATGATAAAATTAATTCTGGTGTTTTTTCCCCTTTCTCTTTCCCCTTACCAGTTAGGGCTAGATTATTTAAAATTTTACATTACTGAGGTTTAAATACTTTGCTCCTTTTTGACAAAGTCAAGAGCAAAATCCCAAAGTTGTTTGGTCTTTATGTAAGTTTAAGGGTATTAAATGTTTACCACTAATCTGTGTGCATCTGTCATCTATTCTGTATTTTGATTCACTTCTTGATTGTGATTTCATAGTGGTTCCTCCCGAGTATACAGTCTTCTCTCTTTCTAGTACATCTCATTTTCCATTGGGATTCCATGGAGCTGTGAGCAAACCAGTTGTACCTTTAACTCCAGATATGGAGAACATGGCCCAGGCTAGGTAAATCTGTGTACTTTGCATCCTTGGTGACGGTTAGTCATGTGACCTCAGATGGTGCAATCAGAGTGAGTCTCAGGACTTTTTGTGGAATGTTGGGACATAGAGCTCTTTTCCTCAAGATTGTGTGAAATGAAGATGTGAATCTAGAACTACTGCAACTGTTTTCTTTTCTTCCATAAGAGAAGGTAACCTGAGGATAAAGTCAACACACAAGGTGGGGACAGGAGAAACCAAATTTCAGAGAACTATTGTTGCATCCCTGATGATCTCATGACCACTTGGACCAGGTTGGACTATTTTAGATAGTATGAGTTTTCTGTTGATTGCAAAATGAAGAGTTCTAGTTCATACCATTGTAAAGGTAGCTGGTGACAGGGGCTTATAGGAATCGCATCCTTTTAGAGGAAATAGGTTGAACAAAACTTCAGAGGCCAGAGGTTAGTTAGTGGCAGGGATAGGATTTAAACCAAGGTTTATCTGGTTTGAATTCTCACTTTTATCCCCAAACTACCTTTTATCACTTTTGCTGCAGGTTAAAGTCTTTTTCTGATTTTTTTAGAGCAAAGATACAGGGACCTGAAAGGCTGAGTCATTCTCAAGCAAGGAGAAGAAGTAGGAAGACAATAGCTGGCCTCCCTATTTTCCACTTCTTCCACATCCATCCATACCATGTATTTCTGGCAACATAATCCACATAATACATAGCCCTGTTCAAGCCATCTCTGGGGTACAAAGTCTTCAAAAATCCCCTCTATCTAAAGGTCAAACTCTTCAGCTAAATTTCCCATTCTTACCTTTATAAAAATAAAATAAAATTGTGGGTGCCATGAAACCAAAACACTTCAAAATTTAAATTGCACTATGGAATTCCACTTCTAACTATGATACCAAAACAGCTAGAAAGGTTGAGGGCCATGGAGAGCTGCTAAGGCAACTAGGACTTGAGGGGACAAAATCCCAAGAAAAAGAGAGTCATGAAGACAGAAGGACTGACAGACATTTCAAGTGACATTTTATCTCAGAGTATTTTTCAACTTTGGATTTGGAGCCAAGGCCCAGGCAGGAGGCAGCTACTAAGAGACAGGGAAATCTGCAGAGATTTTGCTAGTCTTGTGTGGTTTAGAGACAAAATATTTGAAGAGTCCAGTGAGAAAAAAGGGTTGGGTAACTGATCCCAACACCACATGAACAGCTTTAATATTTGACAGATTCTGAAGAGACTAACAAACTTCGACTCAGAAAATTAGAATGAGATTTTCCAGAGTGTCACAGTGCTAAAAGGAAAAGTGTTAGTATTTTGGAGCAAATATAGAAAACTCCAAAAAGCACTTGGTTCTTATTTGGAATTACAGGATAAACCAACATAGCACTTTCTATAACTGAAAATCTATTTCAAACCAGTTTAGTCCTTTTTGATGAAAGATGATATACTCCAGTCTATCTGCTTGGCAAAGGAAAGGGTATAACAGTTCAGGTAAAAATGACATTATTCAAAGCTTTGACACTTTTTCTCACACAATTCAGTCAAAAGTTACTGGGACAAAATGACTAAAACCAAGAGAAAAGTTAGAGAGAGAGTCATAAAGTTTCAGATAAAGACTTTAAAATAGTCAGGATTAACATGTTTGAGGAAAAATACATGAAAAACGGAGAAAAAAAAGATGAAAAGAAAAAATTTTATCAGGAAGTTGGATTCTAAAAGCAATAATCAAGTTAAAATTTTAAAGTGAAAACTCAGCAACTAAAAGTGAAAACAGTAGACATTGTATTTGACAGAATTCTAGGTACAGAGGAATCTAGAAATAATGACCTTTTAGGTCAATAGGTTAATCAAAATTCATCTA